CTTGCTACCATGATTTTGGTTTTTTTTTTAATCATTTTTTTAAGCATTCCTTCTTCATTTCATTTTTAGTAGAAAATACAAGAAAGATTTTTGGGAAACTTCCCTTTTGGTGGGCTCCCTACTACAAAGCTATTTCAGTAGTTGCGCATTTCTTTCCTTTTCGGTTGCACCTGCTTTTTGCACGGTTGTTTGAATTGCACCTGTTTCAACTTTTCAAACAAAGAACAATTTGTTAGTTTGAAACGGTGGTTGGTTTTGTGGCCTTGATCATCTCAATTTCTTGACTTCGGCCCAGCTTCTATTGAGAACCCCTGCTGCTTGCTGGTTTTGAAGATGAATCTCTTCTCAAACCGAAAGGCTCAACTTTTGGGATTTCATGACGACTCGCCCGTGTGGGGATTCGACCCTTTCACTTTAATCTGCCTTTAAGACCTTTGTCCTTGACTTTCTTTTTCTCTTTCAATAACTTTGATTTCAAAGCATCCCTTTCGGGGAGAAAAGAAGGACTTATCTGGGGTGCATGCTGGCTTCAACTAGACATGACATGCTTCTTGGACTGAATGCCCGACCCGCACAAACTTTCCAAACTTCTCATAAACTCATTGACCCATGTTTCAGGTTCAGGGAATCTTGCCGGGACTCTTTCAATGGTGGGAGATATCTTCTGTTCTGCCGACGGCGTCCTTTGCGGGTTTTTGCCAATCGACCTCTCTCATTTCTCTTCTCACTGTCGCCCGATAGCGCTCTTTACGAGTTTTCACTAAACAGACTCTCTCATTTTCAATTTCTCTACTCACCATCGCCTTATGGTGCCCGTAGATTTTCACAGATAAGACTCTCTCATTTTATTTCCCTCAGTTTGATTGCATCAGATTCCAACAATGATGTTTTTCAATTCCCCCGCCTTTGCCAATTGATCGGAAGGACTTTGACAAGGTTTTTCGGGTAAAAAGAATCTTGGATGGAATTACAACTTTGGAACCATTTTGGTGGGCTTATTGCCGAGCCATTATATCATCTGCCCCAGTTTCACTTTTTGGGGGAATTGGGATTTTTGTTTTGGTGTGACTGAACCCCGGAGAGAGGCTGCCTACGTATCCTTTCGGAATCAAGTCAGACGTAGTTCAGGGAAACATTTGTTTTTGTTGTATCATTTTTGTTGTTTTTTTTTCATTCT